TCCAAGTCGGTCATACACCCATACACCCTTCGAAGCTCGAAATCAAACAGTTGTTGAACTACAGTAGGGATGAACTACGATAGGCTTCCTCACCGGTCACTAGTGTCTGAATCATCATATGCAGAGACTCGGACTGTTCGAAGGCAGTGTGTTTCGCCTCTGTCTGGGAAATGATAAATCAGGCGGAATGCATTAGATTTTTAAAGTTTGGCAGAGCTACACTTCTACCATCTGACCTGAAAGATTACCCACCAAATGTGCTAATCGACTTCGTTGAGAAGCTGGGTTCATTTGTTCAAGTTTGAGTAGATGTGAGCCACAATAAATCCTTGTGGGTTGCGGTGCGAGGTTGTATAGCCACACTCACTTTTGACCTAACCTTAAACTAATATCAAAGACAAACAAAGAAGACACAATATCACAGAAAAAAATCTGAAATAATTGAACATTGTCCTAATGAAAAAACTGCATAGTTCTGCAGGTGTTGAGTGGAATGCGTACTCAAATACATTCAGCGATCAGGTAGCGTACAGCTGCTATATTGTGTCCTGTTCTATCATACGGACCTCCGACGCTCCACTTTCTCTCTCGCACCTATCAAAGAGCTCCAATTCTGAAACTTTGTAGCTTGGAAATAATATTTCATGTACGATTTTTTGCAGGCCAGCCTATATGATCGGATTTGTAATTAAAATATCTTACTCATGCTATCAATTTTGATTGGTTAACAGATCGGTGTAGTTACCTATATTGACTTATCTGTTCACATATGCTTATTAGTCATGCCATGCACAAAAAAATTAGTAGGCAAGCCTACTTAGGCATATTGTGTGTGTTAAAAACTATCAATTGAGATGAAGTTAATTCGGTTATGAAAAGACTGAAGGTGAAGAAAGGAAATCGATTAAAATCAATTCAAGTACAATAGCTATGTAAACTATTCAATAGGCAAGTTATCATAGGCATGTTTGTTGATAAATTAAATTTGATGAAGAATATGTCTCATCAAGTTGTCTGATGGTTGAAGGTCGATCTCCCATAGTCTCCTCTACTATTAGCAAGTTTGTAACAGTAAAATAGATTGCTCCTTCTAAGAAAGTCTCTCAAGCATGAAAAAAGTAGGTTGCAAAAATCTCAGCTAATACATTTTTTTTAGTGTCCATTCGAATTTAGAACTTACTTCCTCAGGCTAAATGTGTATTCGAAATTCTATTGAGAAAGTTACTACCCTGAAGATATAATAAAAATTATTATTATTAGACAACACACTCTTCATAATATCTATAACAAAGTATGTAACTGATTGGAACTGATGGAACTTTGTTCCATAAAACTTTTTTTATGGAACTTTGTTCCATAAAACTACTTGATGGCTCAAGAGGAGTCCTCTCGAGACTACTGAACACAGGACGGACGAATAGCTTTGCCAGCTTAATAAGCTTAAATATAAGCAGCTTACTATACCGTTTGTTTTATTGAAAACTTCAGAGGAATACTACGATAACCAATTAACCGAGTGGAATTGAACTTGAAAACAGATCTGTTCTGTCTGTCTGTTCTGTTTAAAATATGTTTTTCCGTTAATCAGCTGTCGCCCCCATACGAACGACAACTCTCAGAAGTTGAGAAACTTGTGCGAGCTGAGGACTAACGAGGTCTTACCTTTCACGGTAGGTTAGGTAGGTTTTCAAATGAAAAGGCACTGGAGGGGGTGTTCAGAATTGATATATTTTTTCAATTCTATTCATGACAATAATTACGAATTTTATTGTATTATTTAAAGTGTTATTGATATTGGGTCACTGTACTGATCCAATAAAAATTACAACAATGTACTCCGGTCATTTTCAATGCATATCGAACCCAGTGAGATATCATCTTCAATTTTGAACCACTCCCAAATCTCCATCCGAAACGTATTGAGTTCCAAGAAAATCAGAAAATTAAAATCATTATTATAATTCGAGTAATTTTTTCGGTGACTTTCCTATATACGTTTATGAAATATGGATGTTATCAGAATTACTCATCAATATTGCCGAAACCATTCGATTTCAAGAATAGTTCGATTCTCTATCTTGAAAAGTTTCATGAATAATCAAATGCTTTCGTCATAACGACATATGTGTTTAAATTATTCGATTGACGAACGTAAAAAATTTGAAATACTGTCAATATTTATTAGTTGACCAGGAGAAGGCAGTTCAGAAAATGTTGGTTGAAAATGAAGAAAATGTATTTTATTGTTTCGACACGTTAAAAATGTACAAAATTTCCATAAAATCTAATTCATAAATTTCAAAACGGGTCAATGAGCTTATTTTGAAGAAATATTCAGAATGTCTTTGAAAAATTGTAGGTATTTATGAACTTGAAATATCTTTCCAACGGAAGATTAATTGGACTGAAAATTGAGAATACTGTATGTGCCGGCACATACAGATATTATCATTCATAATTCATGCACCCACCCGTATCAGCACAAAGTAACAGCTTTGAACAGTATGATCCACAGACTGATGAATGTGCCCTTGTCAGGGGCGAATTTCAATAAAGAACTGAACATAATAAAACAAATAGCTGTCAACAATAGCAACGATAGCAGTCTAATACATTATTTATTATAAAAAAAGTTATAGAGCAACTCAGGCATGCACATTAAGAATAAGAAAGATAAAAGTTCACTTTCAGAAAAATTGGCAGTCTATAAATAATCATGTTTTATATAGGTCAAACTGAAATAATGTTCAAAGCCCGCATAAAGGAACACAAAAATAGTTTCCAGAACGGAAAAATAAATGTCACATATGCCACTCATTTAATCACAGAGGGATATGAGTTCAACCATGAATACAAGCCCTCCATTTCCAAAAGAACGGTTTGAAACTTAACCTATTGGAGAGTATGGAAATAAACAAATTCAAAACCTCTCAATATCTTATGAACGATCAAACTAAATTAAATAATTCGCCATTATTGAAACTGTTCATTTCCAGGTAAAAATAGTCAAGCATGTTTACGATACTTTCGAAAAATGTATTCATATAGTTAATGAATTCATACCTCTCCTCTTCAGGTAGATTCATTAATTAGAAAGTAGGCATACATGTAGGTAATATGTTAGAGTATAAAATGGTTGTAGTTTTAATTTACGCTTGGGAAAGGTTTAGCGAAACACGTGTCACGATTTTCGTAAAACCGTAAAATCTTACAATAAACTGTTTTAGTTAGTTTTATTGAGGATTTTCATCCATTCACATCCATTCACAAGAGCATAGCATTCAAAGAGGTCATAATTTCCGTAGAAAAAAATTAAAATAATTCTTACTTCGAAAATGGTAACAGAGAAAAGTTGTCGTATGATTTTTGTAAATTCCAAAAATTGTATTATATACAAGGTGTTCCATTTAGAAATTAAAGTTAGGGTGAGTTGGGGTAAGATCGAATGCGGGATAACATCGAACGAGCAGTGCAACGTCCGTATGCGGCAATGTTCGTTGCCGTCGTCTGGCAGTCTTCAAGGCCATCCACTCGAGCACGTGTTGTTGTGACGACAAGTTCGCGCCGCCGTCTCCGATCATTTATTGACGTTGTTTTCAGTTTTCAATGACAAATCAGAATATCCGATCTTCCCCGCACGTGAGCACACGTTCATATCCATAGAAACCCACAAAATCTAGTTTAAATCTGTCAGCAGTAGTCTTTTAAAAGTAGCCAACGAACACTAGTCTTGAATATTCTAATTTTGTCGCTACGTTCGATCTTACCCCAATTTCTTTGCATAGGGGTAAGACCGAATAATAGCTATCCGATCTTTCCCCATGTTTTTAGGCGCACTGAATTGTCATTTACCTTCCAGATATCCTATATCATGGTTCGTAATTCCCAAAGCAAAACCGCCAGAGCTACAAAGTACACCAAAGAGGATATAAGTACTGCATTCCTAAGTCTACATTACACGACCATCTAAAAGGCACCCATGAACAGAAAAGTTATTCCAATCCATCACGAAAATATTTTGGCAGGTGGTCTGAAGACCCTTGAAAAATGGGGATTTGGACTGTGTAGAAAGGAAGTTTTGCTTGTGGTGTCTGAATATGTTACGAAAAACATACTCCTGGCGCTGACTGGTCTTTAAATTCCAAGAAGATGCAAAACTTGTCAATCAAAAAGACTCAGTCCGTTGAATACTCGAGAAAAAAATGACTGATCCATTTGTAATAGACAACTATTTCAAACTCTCGCAGAAAACTTCAACCGACCTCCAGTTAGTTGAATGTGCAAAACAAATCTGGAATCTAGACGAAATCAGTCTAGCAATCAATCCGTCCAGAACAAAAGTGGTTGGCGCTAAAGGTGTTGCATGTTCCCGTACTACAAGTGGCCCAGGAAAAAAAATTTAACAATCTTGTATGCAGCTAATGCCGTCGGCAACAAAGCCCCTCCACTGATTGTGGGATCAATGGGTGGCAGAAAAATCAGCCGATGAACTGGATTTGGTTTACGCCGTCAGCAGTAATGGCTGGATGGAGTCAGACATATTCGTAAATTATATTACTGAAACATTCATATCGGCATCAAAAGAAGCAAGACCAGTACTATTAATCTACGACGGTCATAGTACTCATATCGATCATTGGGTTGTAGAAGTTGCCCGTCAAAATGACATTACGATCTTGAAACTTCCGCCCCATACTTCTCACCTACTGCAGCCACTGGACTTAGCTGTTTTCAGGTCTTTCAAAACCGCATGGGATGAAGAGTTGGTCTCTTGGAAAAGGAAATATCAAGGAATCGAGTTACCGTAGAAAATATTTTCTGGGAAAGTTCGTAAAGTGTGAAATAATTCAAAACCACAAAAAAGAAGGCAGGAATATTTCCCTTCAATTCCACCGTCATTCCAAAAGAGAAATATCATCCAGAAACGCTAAAGAGGTGGGAAAAGTAAAAAGATAGAGAAGTTACTAAAGATACCGAAACTGAGGGCATCACTATTTAAGGGGACAACTTTGAAGCAGATCAAGTAGCAAGGGATGAAAGTCAAAAGGTTATTCCTAATGAAGAGGTCAACTTCGAAGTAACTCAAGACGAAAGGGACGAGTTGGAAGCTGGACCAAGCAATATTTCATTTGAAGAGTTAGTTGCTGCCAGAAACGGTTCGACAGAGTGTCTCGAGCAATTTGAACAAGAAAAAAAAGCGAGTAGCAACAGGTGCCGAGGTTATCACCCATCAAGAAGCTTGGGAAAGAATACAAGAGCAGGAATCGAACAAACAAAGTCTTAAGGAAATAGCAAGCCAAAGAAACAAAAAAAGAAATCAGCAGAGAAAGTAGCGACGAAGGCAACCCTGAACCGTTTTGCGAGGAATCGGACTATGACCTGGACCTCCCAAGTGATGGCAGCTTTGAAGAAAACACAGCCTCGCATTTTGAAAATTTCAAGCTACATGCTTGGGTGTTGGTCAAGTATTGTACGAAAAGAACAATCAAGTATTACGCTGGGCAAATCATACAACAATCATCAAATCAACATACAACAATGTTGTGGAATTGGCCGCGGTGGTAGTGCGTCCGACTCACGATCGGAAGGTCGTGTGTTCGATTCCCGCCTCGACCAGATATTTTTTTCGAGAGAATGTATATGGTTGAAGCTGGAATGATTCTGCAACCGTGTTAGGAATCACACGTTAAAAGGTAAGACCTCGTTAGTCCTTAGCTCGCACAAGTTCCTCAACTCTGAGAGTTGTCGTTCGTATGGGGGCGGCAGCTGATTAACGGAAAAACAGATTTCAAACAGATTTAAACAGATCTACAGATAATTACGAATGTCAAGTTGAGTTTTTAAGGTTCAACACTGCAACTGAGAAGTTCTTTTGGCCTCCAGTAGACAACATCGACACCATTGTTTTTGAAAACATTGAAATGTTGTTGCCAAATCCCCTAGAAGACCGCCGTGGCAGTATGTTTTCATTTGCAGTGAATTTTGCAGGTTTTAATTAATGTATGCTAAACAGAAGTTTGAGCATATTATAAGCCTAATACTATAAGTTTTTTATCTAATGACTTTGAGTAAGCGTACCTATTTTGAGTTTTTGATATGCTACTTTATGTCTTACCATTTTGATAATGAAATTTCCGCTGGTAACTAGTTGTTTTGTCTACGCGGGGCAAGTTCGAATTTTGAAGGTATGAGGGCAGAAGATTTTTGTGGCTTTATTTAAAAATTTTGACGGGGAATTTAATATAGGGAAAGTTCGGATTCGATCTAGCCCCGCGCCGCTTTCTATTATATTCATATGGAGTTGTTTAAATGCATCCGGTCTTGCCTCTTAACATGGGGTAAGTCCAAATCCAGTACATCAGCAGCTTTTAAAGTTACTGTAAACTTCTATGATGTTCTAAACATATAGCGATACTTTAATTCCAAGAAGTATATATTAAAGAAGGATTTACTAAAAAATTGTGCTCACTGTTCACTGTTGCTAGATATTAAGTTCCCTTAGAGTTGTACCCACTTGAAATGCGTGCGATCTTACCCCAACTTACCTTAGCACTACTTTCTAATGGAAGTGACAAAGAAAATAACGTCTAATCTGCTATCCACCGTGAAGCAGCCTGTATACATACATATGCTACATTGAGTTATATCCAGATCTATAAGGCAAAGATCATACATTCATTCAAGTTGGTAATAACTTCGTTTTTTTCATTTGAAGCTCATTTTCTGATAGTTCAATGGAAAATTTCATATAGGTAATATTTTCAGATTCACTTGCCGATTACTTTATTTTTTCACCTTTTCCTTTCAATTCATTTCCTGATATTCAGATAGACTGAAACAGTAATTGAATATTCCAAACTTGAAATCACTTCTCAAACCTACTCTTGTCCACAGAACTGGCATCAGCTTATCAACCGGAGTTTGCAGATCCCATTGTCAATCTATCCATCCCCTTGGGACGCGAGGCCACTTTCCGATGTCTTGTGCATCACTTGGGAGGATATAGGGTAAGTTCTGAGACCCCAATTAATATCATGTTACAATCTTACTTCGTGTTTCTTGTATTAACTTCCCAAAGCTGCTTCTCACCCTGAATGATATCATGTTGTATAAACTAATTCCAGGAAGAACCTCACATTCCACATTGATTCCGGTAAAGTTTCCCGTTAGTTTCCTAATTCCGCTTATTATTACATGCAAATCAGCATCACAAGTGAAAGATGATGAAACGTTTCCAATTACTTGTGTTGGGATAACTTTGTAGGTCACAAAGAAAGACGAACCTAATACGAGAAAAGTTTATTCATTCCGAAAATATTTCAGGTGGTCCATCCAATTGAATACTATGAATTTCTGGCTATATCAGTATTGTTTCTCACTTTGGATGATACTTTTCGTAAGATAGTACCTACAGCCCGATTGCTTCTTTCACATTTGTACAGATTTCAGTTGTTTGAAATACTCAGCAACACCTAACGCATTTGTTGAAAAAAACCTACGTTTTCCATGAAGATTACTTCCAAGCAGAAACAAAAAAATTATCAGTTCTTTCATTCACTTAATTTTTAGGAGATAGAAAAAAAGTTGCGTGATCATACTCCTAGATTAAAAATATTCTGCAGTCATCAAGGTCATCTAACCACCATTACTACAGTTTCAAATAGTATGTCTGCGTCATCAAAGGGCTTTACTAAAATTTTAATTTTGTGTACGAATATAAAATATGCAAATAAATAGTTCTAATAATCCGATATTCCACGAAACCAAAGTCGGTGGTTTCAACTAAGTCGAAAAACTGGATTTTTTTATATCCAGGTTACAACTTTCATTTTCGATTCAGACATTCATAGTGCCGCAACTCAGCACTCGCTTCGCTTATTTCGAGGATTTTTCGCTGTTTCACCAATCCCTCATTCATCCAAACAATGAAAAGAACTCACTTGAAAACTTGAAAAAATACGCTGAGAAATGAACTGACATTGAATAGAATAACAAAAAAAAAATATAAAGAATCACCGAAAGCAGGATCCAGCAGGATCGCCGAAAAAAAGATGTACTGCATTCTAAAAATGCCCTGGAATCATATCTGAAGAGTGATCAATTGGATACTGACTGGATTTCTCAATACTTGTTAATGATCTTGACCTTCCCCACTATTTATGAAGATTCTTATGCTCAATTCCAAGCTTATAATTACTTTTTGGTAAATTTTATTACTTTGAAGTCTTCTTTTCTCCTCTTTGTCACATCTGGAGCACATCATTTTGATTACAATGCACTGTTCGTGAACCAAAAACTGGCATACTGAACATTGAAGCCAGTCTTCGATGGGAAGTGTTTCGTAGTAGTTTCCTCCACACTATTATCAGATAGTCTTCGAATGGCTTTTCTTTTTGAACATCGTACAGTACCTTTTATTTTCTTGTCATTTTCCTTCTATATTTTGACACATTTCCTTACGTTTTCCTTTCTTAGACTTTTTTCCACAGCATTTTTTCTATTTCTGATGTGTTCTTCTGAAGTCAATAGTGTCCACTTCAATACATTTTTGTAGAGTAGGTGATATATTCTGTAAAATTCGACATGCGGTGTAATCTGAATCTTTACTGAACCAAGTCTCTTTCGAAGAGCTCGGGTGTGAAACATAAGACATCGTGGCATTTATCACGAAAACTTTTGATTTTCAGGGCTTTTGTTTGTATCATTTCTTTGTTCATGAGAACAACCTGATGTAGGTTCCTTTTCATTGTACACAGCGGATGTACATTGGGAAAACACTTGTGTAACAGAGGTATTCGTCGCCTCACTTGTGGATTCTTGAATGAACGTATAATCTGGCATCGCTTCTAGGTTGTGAGGATACACTCCAGTTTTATCAAATCCAGTAATTGGACGACGATACTGCTTTTTCCCAAGCCTTGCTAAGTGAAGCTCCGAAAGAAAGCGTCAATATTAGACTTTTTTTTCAAGGACAAAACACAATCACTACAGAAAAATCCTCAAGGCGCTCTCAGAGCGGTGCCTGCGCGAAAGTAGCGTTCTCAGAAAGTTCATTTCACTTAAAAACAGTTCTCCAGGTGGAAGAGTTCTTGAACAGTGAAGTTTGAGGTGTGCTGGGTTGAACCTCAAAACGATGAGCAGCCACAATTCGTCGCGTATTTCTGATATGTACCGCTCTTGGTGGAATCAAAAGTGCCAAATCACTTGAACACTTCCCATGAAAGTATTGATAGAAGAGACACAAATCTCCAACCTTTGTTCGAAGCAGAAAGCGAAATTGTCTGACTTGACATTATTAGTGGTTTTTGTGGCATTGAATTGAACCTGGTTACTTTTATCACTTCTAGATACTCATTAAGATATGCAACCTCCTACTGCCGGTGAAGTTGCGCCTCCTTAGCCGATGTCCTGGAATCCAAATGAAATGACGAAACAAGTGTGCTGTCATCAGCAAAGCAGTATATTGGATTCTAGGTTATTTTTTTTCATTAAGTCGTTGAAATACAATAAAAAGAGGGGTTGCAGATAATATGGATACTTGGGGAACACTAGCTTTGATGGTGAAAGTATTCGAGAGGTATCAATCGACGGCCACTTGCAGGAAACGTTCTTTCAGGAAGCTGAAGAGCCATACACAAAAATGATCCGACAAGCCATAACATCGAAGTTTGGCCAGTAAACCTTCATGCCGATGGCATCATTCCAAATATGGGTGACATGCGATAGAAGGTCACCTGTTGATCTTTGTTTCCGAAAGCCATATTGATGATCGCTCAAGATGTTGAAGCCTTCCGAATATTTGAGGATACGGTGGTTTACGTCTTCCTCCATGATTTTTGATATCACTGATAGCAAAGCGACTCGTCTACAGTTATTTGAGAGCAATCTTCCAACAAGAAGGAAAAAGCTCTTTTTCGAAAGACAGGTGGAAAATTCTGCAAAATACTGGTGCGAGTTCATTTACGCACTTTTTAAGTACGATGACGGGCTTTTCATCAGGGCCAGGCGCCTTGTTGCTATTGAACTGTTTCAAAATTCGCCTAACAGGACGCTGTTAAAGGGAAGAGACAATAATCATTGCAGTTGCAATGGGAAAGGCACGTATCATGGAAGGAAAAATAAAACACCCAAGTTTAAAGACGGAAAACGAATTTCGGTGCCGAAAACCGAAAAGTTCGGTTTTCGGCACTGACATTTTTGCGGCACTGCCGGTAGGCGATATTTTTGAAGGCGACAGACAACTTGCTCGCAATTTTTGTTGAATCAAGGTTTGCCGTTAGAAGATCGTTTTATTGAAAAACGAATATATGCATCCATGGATGATAGAATAACTTTCGTGACTTCAAAAGCACAAGTTGATGGATCTTTAGAGCTGAAACGAACATCTAGCCAAGAGAAATTTCGGAAATAGTTTTGAAGATCCTCCCATTCAGCTGATGTCTAATGCCAAACATTGCGCGGCTCAGATTGTTCCTCAACATTCAATCGACACTGAAATGAGTTTGTGGTTAAAAGATCCCAGTGGAGACCTTACGGTGACTGTGTAAATTTCTGGATTGATTGTTAGGTATAGATCCAGAAGACAAGCATATTCTCCATCATGGTCAGAAATCCTGGTTGGCTCATTTATAATCTGAGTAAGTCCGCTGCTTATTGCGAAAGTCTCAGCTTCACAACCTTGTTCGTTGTTGATTTTTGAAAATTTGAGCCATTCGATATCGTGGACATTGATGTCATCGAATATGGAAATTTTAGCCCTGGAATGATTGATTTGCAGAAAGTTAATGGTGTTTACAAGTGAAGAGAATATTGCCCTATATTGTGTATCGTTAGGTGGTCGATAAACGCAGCGTATGAATTAGGTGATCTGTTGTGTTTTGGATTAGCCAAAGTCTACTGATGTTCATAAGAGTTATGTTTCAATGAATGATTCAAAAACAAATCCAAAAGCCGGAGTTGAGGAGACGCTAGACTGGGCAATGATGTCAAAATAATGTAATTCTCATTGGCATATTTCAACATTTTCACGAAATTGCATTGAGTTACAGAAGAACATCTTTTCCGGCGGGTTTCCTTGGAACAAAGTGTGTTTTTAACCATTCCAAAAATATTTCTGTTGTTATGAACGCTAATTTTTGGGACATGAATAATTTTGATTATTTTTCCTTCCATGATACGTGCCTTTCCCATTGCAGCTGCAATGGTTATTGTCTCTTCCCTTTCAGTTGATAATACTGTGGAAACCGCATTAGAATCTTTTTCAGCAAGCACGTGTCCTGGAAGACTGTTCATCTGTAAACCAGATTCATCCATGTTAAATATGCAGTTAAGAAGTAGCATCTCATTGTCTTGGATAATGACGCTTTCAAGCAGTTGAAAATATGTATTGAATGTTTTCTCATGGCGTTGACTCTAGCCAAAGAAACTCCTTCTGATATATCAGTATTTCTGCTCAAGAACATCTGCAGCTAGTCATATCCTGCTTCCTGATTTTCTTTGTTGAATCTATGCTTCAATTTCAACCAATTCGTAGGCTATTTTTTACGTCATCCATCGTTAAAAAAGCCTTTAGCTTCCATTGTTTCAATATGAGTAATACATTTTCTCCCATTTCCCCATAGGTCATTTATTGTCATTAATTTTTTTCATTACTCTTGCTGCTGTTTTTCTAGGTATTTGGTACCCCGCCGGACGTATGGATAATCTATCATTTTTCACAGCATTAACAGCTGCCTTTATTGATACTTTCGACCAGTTTCCTGTCACAGCCACTGCCTCTCTCTTGTATTCAATAGGCATCTGAAACAAATATGAAAATAAATCAATTATTTGCATAAAACATCATTTCTGTACTATAGCGAATGCAATTGGCCATCTTTCCTTTTTTCCGGAAGAGATGGCCACAACGAAAACTAAAAAAGTCATGACACGAAACTTTGCAACAAATACAATTATTGCCATCATTTCGAAAAACTGAAACAAAAAACGAAGGATTCACTTATTTTTG